GGGATTTCCATGTTATTTCTATGATCTTTCTATGGGATTTCTGTGAGATTCCTATGGGATTTCCATGTTGTTATTTCTATGATCTTTCTATGGGATTTCTGTGAGATTCCTATGGGATTTCCATGTTATTTCTATGATCTTTCTATGGGATTTCTGTGAGATTCTTATGGGATTTCCATGTTATTTCTATGATCTTTCTATGGGATTTCTGTGAGATTCTTATGGGATTTCCATGTTATTTCTATGATCTTTCTATGGGATTTCTGTGAGATTCCTATGGGATATCCATGTTATTTCTATGATCTTTCTATGGGATTTCTGTGAGGTTCCTGTGGGATTTCCATGTTATTTCTATGATCTTTCTATGGGATTTCTGTGAGATTCCTATGGGATTTCCATGTTATTTCTATGATCTTTCTATGGGATTTCTGTGAGATTCTTATGGTATTTCCATGTTATTTCTATGATTTCGATTCTATGGGATTTCTGTGAGATTCTTATGGTGTTTCCATGTTATTTCTATGATCTTTCTATGGGATTTCTGTGAGATTCCTATGGGATTTCCATGTTATGTCTATGGTCTTTCTATGGGATTTCTGTGAGATTCCTATGGGATTTCCATGTTATTTCTATGATCTTTCTATGGGATTTCTGTGAGATTCCTATGGGATTTCCATGTTATTTCTATGATCTTTCTATGGGATTTCTGTGAGATTCCTATGGGATTTCCATGTTATTTCTATGATCTTTCTATGGGATTTCTGTGAGAGTCCTATGGGATTTCCATGTTATTTCTATGATCTTTCTGTGGGATTTCTGTGAGATTCTTATGGGATTTCCATGTTATTTCTATGATCTTTCTATGGGATTTCTGTGAGATTCCTATGGGATTTCCATGTTATTTCAGTTATTTCTATGATCTTTCTATGGGATTTCTGTGAGATTCCTATGGGATTTCCATGTTATTTCTATGATCTTTCTATGGGATTTCTGTGAGATTCTTATGGGATTTCCATGTTATTTCTATGATCTTTCTATGGGATGTCTGTGAGATTCCTATGGGATTTCCATGTTATTTCTATGATCTTTCCATGGGATTTCTGTGAGATTCCTATGGGATCTCCATGTTATTTCAGTTCTTTCTATGATCTTTCTATGGGATTTCTGTGAGATTCCTATGGGATTTCCATGTTATTTCTATGATCTTTCTATGGGATTTCTGTGAGATTCTCATGGGATTTCCATGTTATTTCTATGATCTTTCTATGGGATTTCTATGATATTTCTTTGGGGCTACTATTGGATTTCTATGGGATGTCGATTGAAAGTAAATTGGCAGTAAATTGAATTTAATTGAAAGTAGATTCAAAGTAATTTGAAATCAATTCAAAGTAAATTGAAAGTAAATTGAAATCAATTGAAAGTAAATTGAAATCAATTGAAAGTAACTTCAAATCAATTGAATGATCGAGATCCACAATAGCCTGGTTTGTTTGAGGGTACACTATTGTGTCCAGCTGCTTCCTGAGGTGATATTTTTTGAAACATTCCCTTTACCTTTTCCTTTGCTAAAGTTGGTTTCCTTTTAATTACTTAGCTTCATTTTTCTTGGAATCAAAAGCAAAGGCTTTCCAAAGGATTAGTTTCAGCCAAGCAAAAAAAACATGAATGATCATGATACACAATAGTATGGTTTGTTTGAGGGTACACTATTGTGTCCAGCTGCTTCCTGAGGTGATTTTGTTTTTTAACATTCCCTTTACATTTTCCTTTGCTAAAGCTTTACTTTCTCAATTAGTTTCTTTTATTTAGAATTCTCAGAAATGCTCAATTTCCCAAAATATATGATGCCTTATTAAAACCCAATTAAAAAACATCACTCAAACAATTTTTCAAGGGTGTAGTCCATGAGCAACCCTGATACACAATAGTATGGTTTGTTTGAGGGTACACTATTGTGTCCAGCTGCTTCCTGAGGTGATTTTGTTTTTTTTACATTCCCTTTACATTTTCCTTTGCTAAAGTTTTTTCTTTTATTTTCTCAATTAGTTTCTTTTATTTAGAATTCTCAGAAATGCTCAATTTCCAAATATATATGATGCCTTATTAAAACCCAATTAAAAAGCATCACTCAAACAATTTTTCAAGGGGGTAGTCCATGAGCAACCCTGATACACAATAGTCTGGTTTGTTTGAGGGTACACTATTGTGTCCAGCTGCTTCCTGAGGTTATGTTTTTTTTCAACCATTTCCTTTTCCTTTTCCTTTGCTAAAGGTTGTTTCCTTTTACTTAGCTTCATTTTTCTTGGAATCAAAACCAAAGGCTTTCCAAAGGATTAGTTTCAGCCAAGCAAAAAAAAAACATGAATGATCATGATACACAATAGTATGGTTTGTTTGAGGGTACACTATTGTGCCCAGCTGCTTCCTGAGGTTATGTTTTTTTTTCAACCATTTCCTTTTCCTTTTCCTTTGCTAAAGTGTGTTTCCTTTTACTTAGCTTCATTTTTCTTGGAATCAAAACCAAAGGCTTTCCAAAGGATTAGTTTTAGCCAACCAAAAAAAAAAACATGAATGATCATGATACACAATAGTATGGTTTGTTTGAGGGTACACTATTGTGTCCAGCTGCTTCCTGAGGTGATTTTGTTTTTTAACATTCCCTTTACATTTTCCTTTGCTAAAGTTTGTTGCCTTTTACTTAGCTTCATTTTTCTTGGAATCAAAACCAAAGGCTTTCTAAAGGATTAGTTTCAGCCAAGCAAAAAAAAAACATGAATGATCATGATACACAATAGTATGGTTTGTTTGAGGGTACACTATTGTGTCCAGCTGCTTCCTGTGGTGATTGTTTTTTTCTTTTACTTGAAAGTAAATTGAAATCACTTGCAAGTAAATTGAAATCAATTGAAAGTAACTTGAAATGAATATGATCATGATACACAATAGTATGGTTTGTTTGAGGGTACACTATTGTGTCCAGCTGCTTCCTGAGGTGATTTTGTTTTTTTTACATTCCCTTTACATTTTCCTTTGCTAAAGTTGTTTCTTTTATTTTCTCAATTAGTTTCTTTTATTTAGAATTCTCAGAAATGCTCAATTTCCAAATATATATGATGCCTTATTAAAACCCAATTAAAAAACATCACTCAAACAATTTTTCAAGGGGGTAGTCCATGAGCAACCCTGATACACAATAGTATGGTTTGTTTGAGGGTACACTATTTTGTCCAGCTGCTTCCTGAGGTGATTGTTTTTTTTCTTTTACTTGAAAGTAAATTGAAATCAATTGCAAGTAAATTGAAATCAATTGAAAGTAACTTGAAATGAATATGATCATGATACACAATAGTATGGTTTGTTTGAGGGTACACTATTGTGTCCAGCTGCTTCCTGAGGTGATTTCGTTTTTTTACATTCCCTTTACATTTTCCTTTGCTAAAGCTTTTTTTATTTTCTCAATTAATTTCTTTTATTTAGAATTCTCAGAAATGCTCAATTTCCCAAAATATATGATGCCTTATTAAAACCCAATTAAAAAACATCACTCAAACAATTTTTCAAGGGGGTAGTCCATGAGCAACCCTGATACACAATAGTGTGGTTTGTTTGGGGGTACACTATTGTGTCCAGCTGCTTCCTGAGGTTATGTTTTTTTTATTTTTTCAATCATTTCCTTTACCTTTTCTTTTGCTAGCTAAAATGTTTTCCTTTCAATTAATTTCTTTCTTAGTTTCTTTCATTTGAAATTCTCAGAAATGATCAGTTTCCCAAAATATATGATGCCTTATTAAAACCCAATTAAAAAACATCACTCAAACAATTTTTCAAGGGGGTAGTCCATGAGCAACCCTGATACACAATAGTATGGTTTGTTTGAGGGTACACTATTGTGTCCAGCTGCTTCCTGAGGTGATTTTGTTTTTTAACATTCCCTTTACATTTTCCTTTGCTAAAGTTTGTTTCCTTTTACTTAGCTTCATTTTTCTTGGAATCAAAACCAAAGGCTTTCTAAAGGATTAGTTTCAGCCAAGCAAAAAAAAACATGAATGATCATGATACACAATAGTATGGTTTGTTTGAGGGTACACTATTGTGTCCAGCTGCTTCCTGTGGTGATTGTTTTTTTTCTTTTACTTGAAAGTAAATTGAAATCACTTGCAAGTAAATTGAAATCAATTGAAAGTAACTTGAAATGAATTGAAAGTAACTTGAATTCAATTGAAAGTAAATTGAAATCATTTGAAAGTAAATTGAAATCAATTCAAAATCAATTCAAATCAATTGAAAGTAAATTGAAATCAATTCAAAATAAATTCAAATCAATTGAAAGTAAATTGAAATCAATTGAAAGTAATTTCAAATCAATTGAAAGTAAATTGAAATCAATTCAAAATCAATTCAAATCAATTGAAAGTAAATTGAAATCAATTTAAATCTATCTTTTTTTTTTGATTTTACCGTATTCTGTACCCGGTACCTTGTTTTTTCCACACTATTCTGTACCCCAAATTTGTTTGGGGGGGGGGGCCTCCCCACACTAATCAGTAACCTACATTAATTGTCTAGAATAGACATGAATAGGAGTTGATTGGGCACCTGTCCACCAGGGCAGGTGCCGGGGTGGGGAAGACAAGGCTCGGCTTCCGCAGAGCTTCCACGGAGCTTCGGCGGATTTCTGGGCCAAACCCGGGCCAAAAACATTGCGTCCCCAGCGAAAGAGTCTTGGAATCTTTGTTGGTCCATGACTGCTTGCTGCTCTAATTGCTCCACGGCCCAAGCCCCCATGATAGCTGACTCCAACCTGTAATTTTCACACCAATCGAATCAACCTCAAACGTATTATATTCATTGAATTCGTCTTCCGCGGCCCTTCCGCGATCGGACGATCAGCTTCCGCTTCCGCAAGCGCTTCCGCGGATGTGGGTTTCACTTCCGCCATCCCCACATAACTTTCTTGCTTGGATTTGTTTGGCGCTGCTCAAATGTCACCAGGAAGCAAGCAATGCTGCATGAGCTGCTGCCCTGCCCGCAGCTTTAAACGGTCCTTCAGGTTGGAGAAAGACTGCTCCTGCCAAAAGCGTCCCCAGAGTTGCACGATCTATCACCATGTTACACCACCATGCACCACCCTGAGTAGTTTCGCACATCAAGTTCCAACACCATGCCCTGACCTCACCATTCCTCATTCCTCACCCCACCTTGAGGCCGTAGCCAGCCTTTTCGGATTTGGAGCGAAATGCCACTGAACCATCTGCATTCCTCAGCTCGTGAAACACAAATATTTGGCATGCATGGTTTGTCCGTGTCTTTCCTCGTTCTCTTGACAGCCACCATCCTAGTTGTAAAATGAAGATGCTTTAGAGCCTCGGAGAAAATATGACATCGGAGAAAAAAGACGCATGATGCTTGCAGATCGTCTGAGGTGAAAGTGAAAGAAGATGAAAGCAGCACAGAAGGGAAACAACATGAAACAACTATTCAAGTCACCTGCCTTCCTGAAAAAACTCGTTTCCTGCTGCCTGGCCAAAACGGAAGTTAGTCAACCCCACAAGAATTGTCTGTCAAATTTGGGGGTTGACTGGATGGAGGCCAGTCAATCCCTTCAAATATTTCAGATCTGCTGTCATATGCATATATATATATATATACGTATAATATACTTGTACTGTAATATATATCTCTGTGTGTGTGGATATGGCAAGGCAGGTCCAAACGTGACCTATTTGGGATGTTTGAATTTGGGCCGTTTGAGATTGTCCCACTACTCAGCCAATCCCGTGACAAGCAATGACAAACTCCAGTCGGATCCTGCGATTCAGCAGCTTTCAATTTCATCTCAACTCTGAACCTTACACCGAGAAGCCTCACTTCGAAGTATTTCGTATTTGCAACCTGGGGCAGTTTGTCAAAGAAACATCCTTATAACTTATAAACTTATAACTTAAAAACATCCTTAAACCCTGAAACAAAGGTGGCAGTCCTACAACAAAGAAGACCTGTCGGAAAAATGAGCCTGGGAGAACTAGGCGTTTATGCCATGGATGTGTTGATATGCTTTTTGGGTCTTCACACAAAGGACGGCTTTCAATGACAATTGTGCTCACTATTGCTCACTGCACCCTCCAAATCTGCTGCCAAGTTAACATCATGAGTGTGCAGGTGCACCGCTAAAATTTCTGGCCACTCCTTGCCGATGGGGCGCATACACGGACAAGCATAGAATTGCATGCGATGGCGATAGCTACAACATCTATCATCCGAACCAATCATATATAGGCTCCATTGCAAAGCCTGGTCAAGCACAATTGCATTCCATACTGCTTCTCAAAATTCTTACCAACATTGACTAGAGGGAAAAAAACAACACATCTGACCAAAACCGCCCTTCTAACAAAAATCAGCACCCTTCGCTAAGCAATAAAAACATGTGAAAACCATGGAGACAACATTGGAGACCCTTGCTTCTCATTTAGAGCAGCTGTCTTGCAACGATCCTGCTTAATATTGCTTAATCCATCTTAATCCTTGTTATCTAGAAGCGGCATCACCCGGCTATGTCTTATTCATGCCTGACCCTTACGATCTGCCGGGTGTCACCAGCTTTGGTTCGCACCACCCCGAGCAAGTTGTCTGCAGAGATTCGCGTGACCCATTCAACCTGAGATCCATCGCCGACAGCTGCAAACATGGGACCAACGCTGTTCGACTAAGGGAAAGGACTCTGATGGTGATGGCAATGATGGTAATGATGGTAATGATGGTGACGATGGTGATGGTGCTGCTGCTCCTGCTGATGATGATGAATAAAATGAATGAAATTAATATAATATAAATACTATATAAGATGAATGATGATCAATGATGATCAATGATTAATTGTGTGGATTTATGTGGCGATACCCTGATTGATTACAGTATATTGATTTGAGAAAGAAGAGGCAGATTTTGCTCCCCCTCGCTTCAAGTTTGGTGACAGGGCCATGAAGCGGCCGCACGTCCATATTGAAATTCAAAGCTCCTCACATCATCGTCCATGTGGAGGTGGAAACCCAATAAAACATAATAAAACCTAATATGAAACCCACAAATGTAATGCATCGTGCCCACTGACTATACTGACTAGAAAAGAAAAGAATGCAGCCAATATATTTTTTGTCAGGGGTTCGCGAAGGATTTGCCCTACATGCAGCCTATATGCCAATATTATCATTTCAGGTGCCATCGTCCTTACCCATAATATCACATCAAATCTTGCAAGGCCTTCCGTTGTTTTCCTTCTCTTCGCCTTATTGTTTTCATTCGACCCCTGAGGCCGTCTGAATCCGTCTGATATCACCCCGGTCAGCTCCTACCAGCGCTGCCGGGCGCATCCTTCGCATAGTGACATACCTCGGCTCAGCGCAAACACGACAGGCACGACAGGATGATGACGGGGCTTGGAGACGGATTGGACGAGATGCATTAGACACAGTGTCTTCGCTTTCGCATGACCAATTTTCACAGGTAAAGTGCTCTCACCAACGCATCGGCCTACTGCCATTATACGGTTTATATCAGAACCATGCAAGCTCCAAGCCAAACTGAACTGTAGCATAAGCATGCATAAGCATGCATAAGCGAACTCCAAGATGCAAGTCGAAGCCACTGGCATGTGGCACATCCTGAAGGAGCTCAGAGCGCGGCAAACCCACCACTGCCAGTGAATGCACTTGTACCACATGCCCAAATCCGTCTTGTTGGAAGGAGGACACTCACCACGATCCCAAACCTGTTTGGTGCAGCCAAGTTGCATGTCCGAAGACCCAGCATTTTGGGAACAAAATGTGGTGCTCCACCATCGCCCTGCAACACAAGCAAGAAACAGCCAACCGGTCCCCATCCCTTTTCCCAAAAGCCCCACTTCGCAGTACATCATAGGTCACCATGTCACCACAGGTCATCATACTACAGTAGCTCATCGTTTGTCCGCACAATGCACCCATAAGTTTTGTCAAATAAGGCTGCCAAGCATCTTCTCCGACAAAGGAATGCCGTAGCTCTTCGGCAGCGTGTACTTTCCGGCCATCTCAGTGGATAAATGGCACATAATTTAATGGAACAATATGGAACACAAAACAAACTTTTCATTCCCCCAGCATGTACGGATATGTACGGAATCCAGCATTGATTCGCCCTTGTCAGCTTAGTCACTAGTCATTTTCATTCGATCTGCGTCCAGGGCTCTTTGTCATGGGAGGCAAGCATTCGAAAAGACGATTCTTGAAGATGCAGGCTCTCCACCTCCGCTTTTGAATAGGTCTTTCCCTCAGCAATCGCCAGCACCTCTCTGGAATGAGGAATTGCTTATATAATTAGGTTCGTTTGAAGGGAAAGTTTCAAGAGAAATAATGTCATTTTCATAATTTCCATATATTCACCCTTCCGATAAGAGCGGATGGTGGTCCATGATTCCGGTAAATGTGATTATGTATAAATGTTCCATTTCCGAAATCAGGAAGCCAAGGTGCCAGCTCCAGGGAAACCTCATTGGGATACGCATATATATTCATATGATGCACCAAGCTTACCTCAAGCAGAAGCGAGTGCAATGTATGCAAAACTAGCTGCAGAAACGTTTTTGGGACTTGAATGACACTACAGCCGTTTTCCAGTCTGGTGTCCAACACTATTGGAAAATGTTATAATCAATGGTAATATATCTCTCGCATGTGTTTTTTTAGAATTAGATTACGTATATCTATCATGTTGCTTTATAATATTATCAGAACCTTCTGTCAGAGCAAAACACATCCCGCAGGTTGCCTTCGTTGTGTGCTCAGCACATCCGGAAGGCACTTCTTCAATCACTGGATCCCAACCCACGATAAACATGTCTTCGGGTGCCTTGGATGGCAGAGACCTTTCTGTTGCAAGGATATCCATATTGAGCATACGATGGCATAGCTGCTGGGAAGCAAGGAATTCTACCAAATTCACAACAGGTCTGGGCTGGAATTCCTCAACATTTCTCAGCGCTAACGGTTCATGTCCATGGGTCCACCGCTTCTGCCAGCTGAGGCTGCTGCTGAAAACATAGATGAGTCCAGAGCCTGAGATAGGCCATCCGGCGATCCGGCTGAATTTGTTCAGCCCTCGGTGTGCTTTGCCGTCAGTGTTGTTGGATATGCAGAATTATGCAGAATTGATCATATTGATCAGATTGCATAGAAGTGCCAACAAATCTTGGATGCAAACTGATCACACTTGGTCCGCAATTAGCAAAACCATTCAAAAGATTTCAAACTAGTCATCCCAACCCCATCTGGGATTGTCCAAGCAATTCCAAGCGACAGTGTAGAGCAGCAGTGACTGCTTTTGCTCCAAGCTGGGCCTGCCAGTGAGCTCGCTATGGACAAGAGACTATCTGAGCAGCAGTTGCAAAAAGGAAAATGACTGGATTGGGGCTGAATTTACATTGACATTCAATCAAGCTATATATCTCAAACTAGATTTTTTTGAACCTCCATCACTCCTAACCAATGAGCAAGCTCTGGAATTTGATTACGGCATATTACGGCATCAAAGCCGTGCTATGAGGCCAGTGCGCAAGGACCGTAGAAATCCGTAGGGTAGGGAGAAATTGACATTCGAAGTTGTGCACATTTGGCTGCAACATGCTGCAAGGGTCCATCCACGCTTAAGATATCTTAAGATCGAATAAGCTTAGCCGCGCCTCAGCGTCCCCCCTACCTTGAAGTTGGCTCTGCTGGAGAGGACTCGACCTCAGAATCCCAGCTCCATGGTGTCCGCCCGCATGTCATGGTGTTATATATATATATAATATTATAAACACATTATATCATATATTATATATATATATATCTCTCTCTCTTGACAAAAAAAATGCAAAGATATAACAGGAAAACTGTACAGGGAGGGGTGGCCAAAGAAGTCACTAGCGCGACTAGGACACAATCAGGATACCACTTCAAGAGCTGTTCAGGACATCTTCCACCCTGGCCACTCAGAGATCCAGGATGAGACAGCAAATTGGCCATGGGTTTCTGTGTTCGGACCGATAACCACTTGTCATTTCTCAGTCTAGCTACAAGCTTGGGATGTATTCGAATGTATTCGAGACTGTTGGGAGAAAGAGTACATTCGTTGTGGCACAGCAATCGGGACACCTCGGCAGCCCTTTGGCCCTGAGCTTGGTGAGGCTGTACATTCCTGAAGCGGCTCAGTTGGACAATGTTGGACAATTGGAGCCAGTAAGAAAACTTAGAAAAACTGTTTGTCGATCAGGCCATCAGCAAAAATGGGTCTTAGAATTGCAAACATACACAAGATTATACAAGCCATTACCAAATGTTATAAGCAGCCTCCTTTTCAATCCGTCTGCATCATCCGTCTACGACATTTACGAGTCGTTTACGAGATCTTACCAGTATCAAATTACAATAAATTAATTACATATTATTTATATATATATATATCATATATCAGTTGATTTAAGTTGGCACATGTTGGCACAATTCTTCAGCTGCGGGGCCGTGTCCTTTTGATATCAACGCTCATCTGCAGAAACCTCACTGACATCACTTAGGACATTGCCAGGTGCCAGGTAATGCCAGGTATCAGGGTGACGACTGAACGGGATATAATGGGATGGATACGGATGGATAATTAATAATGATGGGTTATATCTGTCATGATAATTATTAATCCTGGGATGATAATTAATTAATAATGATGGATGAACATCACAGGATTTGCTGTCAGAGGCAATGGGTATTTGCACATCTGCACCATGAATTACACAGATTTGAGTATACAATGATGGAGTTCGCGGATGCACCCCACATACAATATCAATCAATATCATACATGATGGTGAATGACTGAATTGAACGCATTTGAAGGGACTAACCGGCGAACCTGGTACTAAGACCTTCAACAGCCTTTCACGGAAAAGGCCAAGGTGCGAAGCTTGAACCCCAAAGTCATCTGAGCTCTCTCTCAGTTCATCGACCCAAAGGCAGTAGCCCAAAGAGCCCAAAGAGCAAATTATGACCTCGGCCGGTCAGCCATAGATAATCATAGATAGCCATAGTATCCACAGTCAACCTCATGAACAACACCACTACGCACTGTACGATATTGATGGGCAATGATAGACATCCTAGGAATTGGATGTGCCTGCAGCTGAGCATCACCCGCCGCACATGTGGCACAGAAACGCAGGCATAGGTTACCACCGTTACCACCAGCTTTTCTTTGCATCAGATGACCTGCAGTCCTTAGTGGATGCCGATGCTTGAAGCAGGATGCAGCTTCACTTTCAGGGTTGCTCCCAACACAACAGCGCAGATACAAGTCAAGGGGTGGAAAATGGCTGGACCAAAAAAGACGGCTGGATCAAAGGTGCCTTGCTGAGCGGCAAGAAAAACTGATAGTTCCTACAGTGCACTGTCAGGCAGCCAGCCACCCAAACCAAAGACATGAGAGATTATAAAAGCATATAAAAGCAAGCATGAGACATCATGAGACAATATGGCCCTGCTTTGTCGCAACAGGTGGTAGATCACCACAACACTTGCTATCACCATGAGGTCCCAGAAATTCTTAGAAGAACTGATAGTAGCTGTCATAGTGGAGGCTGTAGCCAAGTCAAGTGGCAAATCAATCTTTCAGAGCTTTCGCGATTGCTCCAGTAAAAAGCCCAACAGCCGTAGAAGTGAGCAAAATCCATGAAGGACCGGGGAGGGGTTTCCGCCGAGTCTTTGAGAACTTCGCAGCGGGTCAATACACCGCGTCAAACGCCCAACTGCCAACGCGTTTAAAGCATGAGCATGAAGGCAGGAAAATAAACGTGACCACAAAATACCACAAACAACAACCATAGAAGCCGCAAATTGCAACATGTCAACATGCAGCTCTTTACAAACTCGCTGGCCTACCAAAAAAAGCTGCCTTTTCGTGGCAGTCTGAAGTGTTCGCTTAGCAGCTTAGCACTGGACGCTTGGTCATCCCCAGGTGAGCCTACCATCACAGCCACGAGATGCCACGAGATGCCAGGAGTCACTTCAAAACATTGACAAGAATCGACAGAGATCGACAGAGTCAACGGAGATTCCGCTACCGAGCTGGAGCTGTGAGCGCCCAAGCAATCTCAAGCACTTGCGTCTCAGTTCTCAGTAGGATTATGTAGGATTCAACAGGTCTCAAATGTCAGGTATTGTCAAGATTTGTCAAGTGGTTTCCAAGTCAGCTGACCAAGGGTTGAACATCGGGGGGCTAAGCAATGATACTATATGACTATATGATACTTGCTATGCAGGCTTGAAATAAATAAAGCATGGATAGTATGGGCAAGTGCCTGATCTTCAGTGTCTGAGTGCCCTGCTTGCCACAACATTGCCTTGCCCGCCGCTACCGCCAGATGGTTCCTTCGGCACAAAGCAGGTTGCGGAAAGAAAAGCGTGAGCAGACTATCATGTTTGTGCTGATTCTTCACAGATCTTCACCACTAGAGTCATTGAAGAACTCCCCGCCACTGGGACCGTTGACCGAACTTCTGCAGCATTTGGCAGCTCAGCAGCAGCAAAGACCTCTTCTGAGTCTGCGGCCCGTGCAGTAACGGCAATGGGCTCTTCTGGTGCTGGTGCTGGTCTTGGCTGGTAGTGCCGGAGGGCATCAAAGACCTCCTGCGAGTCACAGCGTGCATCATATCATGGGCGAAGAGGGTGCATCTTGTTTATCCACTGCCCAATTGTTCCGGCCACGTGCGAAGGTCTTATATCGTCTTACTTGTCGAAGGCATTTTGGACTTCAAGGAGCCTGACTCGCTTTGAGGTACTTGGATTCAAATGATTCAAATTCAAAGTCTAAACAAAGTTCATCTGCATGTGCAATTCATTTTCATTGATCCACACTGCGCTCCATGAGAAAGCTGGCTTACTGGGTCATCTCCTTGCTGACCTTGCTTCTCTACATTTCTCTACATTTCTCTACCTCATGACCGTCATTGCATGTGTCACTACCTTACTGTAAAGCACGTCTCACCAGTTTTGGAGGTTGTATGTGGCACACGCCGACAAACACGAACCTCCTTCAATGGTGGCCACGCCAACCAATCACTGTACCTGGTGAGGTGTTCACCACACCACCAGGGTTGCCACCAGGATCCTGGCCGGGACGGATGCCGGCAATATCTTTGACCATTGACCACTTCAATCACTGCTTCTTCATCGATGTCATAATCATTAGATCCATTAGATCGGTTGGATCCATATGATCCGGTCGCAAAGCTTCGCGTCGTTCTCTTCCAGGTCAGAACTGCCGCGTGTGTCACCGGCAAGGCTTCTAAAGAGTAGGATGCAAGGCAACGATCACCTGGTTGCAGTTGAAGCTCCAGCATGTAGTCCACCTCATAGCCAAAGTCTCGGCCATAGAATGGAAACCGTGTCTCAGAACCTGTCTCTGAGTAGCGACGTTTCATCTCCCGGTACCGGGCCAATCCTTGGCTCCGCCGTAGCTCCCAACTGACACCACCGAAAGCAACGAAAGCGGCGAGACCCCATCGACTCGATGCAGCGGCCATGGGCCATGCGGACATGGTGCCATGGACAGCTTGACTTAGCTGACTTAGCTGACTTAGCTCGACATTCGTCAAGACGTCCTTGAACGTTTCATGATGTTGTTCATCAAGGTTTTCATGAAGTTGTTAGTGTTTCATGTGAGATCATGCAACAGGGTTCCTATGTGCAGTCACTAAGGTGTACAAGCTGCAGAGATGTGGCAGTAGGATGCAGTAGGGGCATCACAATGTTCAAGATTGCTCCTAAAAATATCTTACGGTTGTGCTGTCTGGCTCGAGAGATTTAATGATG